CCCATTCCTTGACTTCAACACGGCGAATCAACGTACGTACTTGTTGCATCCTCATGTTCCAATTGTGGTACGCTGACCATGGGGATCCGTGAAACTCTGGCAAATATAAACGAATGTGCGCGGCGCTCAGGCGAGAGTCACATTTTGAAAACGGGTCGCCCTCAATCCGTGATTCCCTTGCAAATGTTAAAAGAGAGTGTGCGCGGCGCTAAGGCGAGAGCCACATTTTGAAAGCGACCCGCCCTCCGTTTGTGAAGCCGTTGCACATGTTTTCAGCTTCAGGGTGGTAAGTCTCAGGCGAAACACCCGACCCGCCCTAACAGTTGGCCTCGGGGTGCGACAGGGAGAGGTTATGCATAAGGAAAAGGAGAGGAAGAGGAGAAGTTGGAGGAGGAGGAGGAGGAAGCGGAGGGAGGGCGGAGGAGGGAGGAGGGAGGAGAGAGGGAGGAGGAGAGCTATCCGAGCAGAACGACGATGCTGCAATCCGCCTCTCGTGCCCAGCCCCGTCCCCCAGAGTCCCCCGGAGCGCTCCCATCCCGCGCGCGGCGCGCCCCCGGGAACGACGCGCGCCCCCCTGGGCCCGCACCGCGGGCGCGGAGCTCTCCGTGTCCAAACAGGCGGATCCTCTGAGCTGTACTGAAGTCGGGCATGGCTCTCTGGAGGAGGAGTATTCACAGGCAGTCAAACAGGGTCAGGTCACCAGCCTCCAACGTATCCCTATCCCTAAGATTGACACGCCAAAAGGAGATGACAATCTTATGGGTACACCCTCAGAAACAGAGGAAATCCCTAAGATCGCCATCGTGATGAGGCGATGCCCAACATAGGGATAGGGTTATGTTCCAGGCTGGTAGTCAGGGGACGTTATTTTTGTTGGCTATGGTTGGCTGTGCTTGAGTATGTCGGTTTTACTTCCAACATCCCACTGCAGGGGACATGCCCGACTCGGAATGCGGCACGGTTTCGCTTGACGTTCAGGGGCCCGGCGGCAGCATTGATTTGAAGAGGAACCGCCTTGCGTCCGAAACTGTTACACCATGTGTCATCTGTGGCCACACCATCAGATGGATTCCCAGGCACCAGCCACCAGCGCAGCTGTTGCACAGTTTCGCATGTGAGGCAGTTTTTGCTGAGGACGTTTTCGGCGAGAGCCCCATGTTGAGAACGTGCCAGTCGGCATCGGTGTAATTGCTGGGAAGTTTTAAAACGACCGTTCGCGCGGATGCCTGGATCGGTGCTGGGCATATTTTAACATTGGCACAAAAAAGGAGGGACTTGCCGAGGTCCGCGTGGATATCCTAGGGCCTAGAGCGGCTCTGGTCCCCTTTCCCTCGGGCGCGGAGCGCGCCAGAGGGGGGTCCAGCGCTGGTCCGCTAAATCCGTGCGGACCTCTAGAAGTTCATGCTTATGACGTTCGAAGGATTGTAAAAAAACCAGGATTGCAAAACAAACCCGAAGGATTGCAAAAACACCCAGGATTGCACGAAGGATTGCAAACCTGTGAACGAAGGATTGCAATCCTTCGTGCAGGGTTTTTGTTGCACCCCTTTGTATTCGCACACTTACATGGGACGTGGCGGCGGTCGGGGGAGGGTTTTCGTGGAGGGCTGTGCAAGACGGGCCTCCCGCGGCCTCTCCCTTCTCCTGCGCCCATCCGCCTCCTCCCTCCTCCTTCCTCCCTTCTCCCCCCTCCCTCCTCCCGCCTCCCTCCCTCCCTCCCTCCCTCCCTCCCTCCCTCCCTCCCAGCGCAAGCTCGGCCCGAGCCCCTTCTGGGCTTCCCGCCAGCCAGCGCCATCGGAGTCCTCGCTCCGTCCTCTCCTGCCCACGGCGCCCATGTCCGGGGCGGGCGCGGCGGTGGCGCCGGCGCGACGCCCCCGCCGGAGGGCCCAGTACCGCGGGGCCGAGGGCCGCGCGGTGCAGCGCCTTTTCGGCGCTTTCGAGGATATTTGCGCGGCCATCGCGGCGCCGAGCCGACGTGCCTTGGCGCGGCGCTCGCGGCCGCGCTCGCGCAAACGCCCGCGGCGGGCCCTGAGGAGGCTGGTTGCGCTCCTGGCGGTGGCGGTGCTGCTGCCGATGGCGATGGCGGTCCAGGCGCGCTCGCAGCCGCGCCCCTCTCTCTCTGGGCCTTGCGGTCGTGGCGACAAGGAGCGCGCAGTCGGCGGGGCCGCCTCGAACGCCTTCGAGTCCCCCTTGGAGGTGCCGCAGGAGCCAGTCAAGGTGGAGGCAGAGGCGACGGCCACCCTGGTCGAGCCCTCGGCGACGTTGGCGATGCAGGCTGAACGCGACAGTGCCGCACAGAGGTGGGACTCCAGCGCGGAGCCGGCTAGGCATCGGCTCCTCGGCGACGCCGACGTCCTGCGGGGCGGTACGCCGAGGCGCGTGTTCGGGCCCCCGCGGGGGATGGCTGCCCAGCAGGGAGGCGCTGTTGGCCAGGATCCGAGGGCGGCGGTCGCGACGGGGCCGAGGATCGACTGGAGCGCGGTGCAGGCGGCTCCAGCGACGGTCCCTGGCTCGACCCCAGCAGATTGCAAGCAGAGGTGGCCCCGCTGGCTTCCTGAAGAGAAGCAGCGCCGCATGCCCAAGGAGGCCTCTACAGAAGAGGGAGGCGTGTACTTGGGGAGCGGCAGCCGCATACCTAGGGATGCCCCAAGAGAAAAGGGGGCGGGGAGTGGCCAGCGCTGTTCAGAGTTGCATTATGCGGGCATGTTTTAGCTGTGGTGTTCTCGTATTTTGTCACAGGGACATGATCAATCGTCTTGCATATCTGAGATTGTGTGAAACCTTTTTTTGTGGCTATGGGCTTCCATATTCCATTCACTTTCGCTTTGCTTCTCGCGCCCTGTGTGACATGCGTACTCACTAATAAGAGGCGTGGGCAAGTGACCCCTGAGTTTACGTCTTTTGCGTCATGCGTGCTCATTGAGAAGAGGTTTGTTTTGTTCGTGGGCAAGTGGCCCATGAGTAGCTTCGCCCAGGCCGAGGTCTCTCTGTGTTTGGCAGGGTGACGTTCCCCATCGTTTCGCGATTGTTCCTGTCCGGTCCAGTCCAGCCCTCCCTCCCTCCCCCCCTCCCTCCTCCTTTTTCCGCCTCCTCCCTCATCCTCCTCCTCCGCCTTCTCCTCCTCCTCCTCCTTTTCCTTCTCCCCCTCCTCCTTTTCCCCCCTCCTCCTCCTCGTCCTCCTTATCCTCCACCTTCTCTTTCTCCTCCTCCTCTTCCTCCTCCTCCTCCTTCTCTATTTTGTCTCCTTGAAAGAGTAGCTTCTCTCTGTTGCAACCCAAAGCCAGTTTTCAGGACGGGCCGGGCGTTCCGCTTGAGACATCCTGACTATGTTGTGACCCTGGAGCTGAAACTCTGACAACTGCTTCACATGTGAAGGGCGGGTAACTTTGAAGGTGTGGCTCTCGCCTTAGTGCCGCGCACGCCCGCTTGAACAAAATGCGAGGGCTTCATGGATTGAGGGCGACCCGTTTTCAAATTGCGGCTCTCGCTTTATCGCCGCGCGCGTTGTTTTTCAATGTTTGCAATACCTTCTCGGATTGGGGGCGGGTCGTTTTCAAAATGTGGTTTTCGTCTTGGCGTCGCGCGCGTTCGTTTGAATAACTTGCACGAGCTTCACGGATTGAAGGGCGCTCTTTTTCAAAATATGGTTTTCGCCTTGGCGCCGTGCACATTTCTTGTTTAGACAACTGCAAGAGTTCCACGGGATACCATGCTCGACGTACCAGACATGGTGTTGTGGAAATATTCACGGTCATGAGGGCGTTGTGACACGATTCAGGGCCGTCAAAACGCACCAGTCAGTCTTATCCGTGGCGTTGGTATTCCAAAATCGTTAGTGAATATTTGTCCTGCCTCTCCTCCGCCAGCTTCTCCTCTCCCTCCTCCTCGTTCCCCCCCCGTTCTTCCCCTACTCTTCCTCCCCCTCCTCACCTTCTCCCTCTTCCTCCTCCTCCTCCTCCTCCTCGTCCTCTTCCTTCTCTTCCTCCTCCTCCTCCTCATGCTCCCTTCTTCTGCCCGACTCTTTTTCCAGGGCCGGTTTTTCACCCGAACCGTTTTTTGACATTCCGATGTTTGGCGACGGCCCCTCGGGGCCGAAAGTGAGCAACCCGCCCGTCGTGATTTTCCCACGACGCGAGCATGTCAGGGTCAGATTTTCCTCCTCACTCGCTTGCGGGATTGGGAAGGCGGGAAAAGGGCAGAGGTGAGGCAACTCGCAAAAAGCAGAGTATGAGAAGGCGAGGGAGACGAACAGGGGCAGGAGGAAGGTGAGGATGGGCGGGCAGGGACATATGGGGAGACAAGTAGCAGGGTACAGAGAGGAGAAGGCGAGGGACAGAGGGGAGGAGGAGGAGGAGGAGGAGGAGGAGGAGGAGGAGGCGGAGGAGGAAGAGGAGGAGGAGGAGGAGGAGGAGGGACGGGACGGGAGTCGAGGACGAGGAGGGGAGGGAACCTTCTCCTCCTCCTCCTCCTCCTCCTCCTCGCTCCTCCCTCCTTTTTCCTCTTCGCCCCACCTTGCCCCGCCCTTCGGGCAGGTCCTCCTCCTCCTCTTCTTCCTCCTCGTCAATCCTCCTGCTCCTCCTCCTCGCCCCTCCTCCTCGTCCATCCTTCTCCTCTTCCTCGTCCATCCTCCTCCTCCTTTTCCTCGCCCTCCTCCTCGCCCCTCCTCCTCCTCGCCCTCCTCCTCCTCGCCCCTCCTCCTCCTCCTCCTCCCTCCTCCTGTCCTCTTCCTCCTCCTCCTCCTCCTCCTCCTCCTCCCCCTCCTCGCCCCCCTTCTCCTCCTCCTCCTCCTTCTCCTCGCCCCTCCTTCTCCTCGTCCTCCTCCTCCTCGCACTCCTCCTCCTCTCCTCCTCCTCCTCCTCCTCCTCCTCCTCCTCCTCCTCCTCCTCCTCCTCCTCCTCCTCCTCCTCCCCCCCTCGCCCCTCCTTCTCCTCCTTGTCCTCGCCCTTCTCCTCGCCCTTCTCCTCGTCCCTCCCCTTCGCCCCGAGCCCTCCTGCCGGAAGGTCCTGCGGGTGCTGGGCGCGAGCGAGGCGGCCGGGCGGCAGGTTGTGGAGGTCCTGGGCGCCTGCGGCGGGACCCGGGGCGGGGGCGGCATCCAACGGTCCCCACTCCTCCTCCTCTCCTCCTCCTCCTCCTCCTCCCTCCTCCTACTCCTACTCCTCCTCCTCCTCTCCTCCTCCCCTCCTCCTCCGCCTCCTCCTCCTCCTTCCTCCTCCTCCTCCTCCTCTCCTCCCTCCTCCTCCTCCCCCCCCCTCCTCCTCCTCATCCTCCTGCTCCTCCTCCTCCTCCTCCTCCTCCTCCTCCTCCTCCTCGTCCCCTCCCCTCCCCTCTCCCCTCCTCCCCCCCCCTCCCACTCCTCATTCTCCTTCTCCTTCTCCCTCTCCTCCTTCTCCTCCTCCTCCTCCTCTTCCCCCCTGATCGGGGCCCAGGAGACGGTGGTCAATGCAAGCTGGGGTCAGTTAGGGCGCGGGATCTTGCAGGATTCTTCAGGGCCAGGGGCGCATTGACCCTGGCCTGGGCGCAGGATCCTGCAGGATTTTTAGCAGGATTCTGCAACGCGTGATTGTCCCAGGTCTGGGTTGACCCAGGTCAGCAGATTCCCGACAGCGGCGGCGGCGATGGGCGCACCTCCCCAGGCCCCGTCGGCTCCCGCAGAAGTCACGACGGAAGGCTTTTTCTCGCAGGCGATTTTTCTTCCCCGATCCTCGTGTTTCGCCCGACAAGTTTGGCCGCTCAGGGGGAGACCCTGGGATACACCTTAGGCGATGCTTAAGAAAACTTATTTTTTCGACCAAAGTCTCGATTACTATCAATGTTTCAATGTAAATCCTAAGATTTGAATCGACATGTTGGGCTTTAGTTCAAGTTCTGAGACCATGAATTTCTTAACCCATGATTTCTTAAGCATTTCGCAGGGTGTACACTCCCAGGGGGCTATTTGGATGACCCGCTGTCAAGGATGGAACCTCCTTGGACATCATAGGGTTGGGCCCCGAATTGCTGGTCCATTCGAAAACTCCACGAGGCCCCCCTTTTATTTTTGCCATTTGCAGCCTCTGGGGGCCCTTACCAGGCTTCGGGGCCGTCAAAAAAGGACTCGGGATGAAACACGGGTCCCAGGGAACGGGTCGAGACGAGACCTCTGAGGTGGACGTTCTGAACTCATCATGACGTCGGGGGTGCCCTTAAGGACGCGGATCTCAGGATAGGATGTGATTCACGTGTGAGTCACATTGTTTGAGGCACCACGTTCTTATAGGGCCCTTCTCCTCAGGACCCCACCTTTGAACCACCGACCAACGGCGCGGCGGCGTTATGCACACTACGGACCAGAGCATGAACATACAGTGGGGGCCCCTGCCAAGAAACACCCTGCTTGCCTCCAGGGCGCCCTTGGTTTCTCGGGTCTCGATGATTTTGCGATGGAGAGCGTGACGTCCTTGGGTCTCAGGGTTGAATTTCTTGCAGCAGGTTTCTTGTGGATTGCCCTCCCATTGTATGACATCCGCTTTGATCTTTTCTCCATGTTAGCGACGCAAAGAAAAGGGATCATCGGCGCCGGCATTGGCGCCTGCGCTGCCCGCGTCAGGTGTCGCGTGCTCGCCCTCGCTTCCGCTGGCGTGCCGCGCTGGCAGCTCGCGTACGCCACCGCGTGAGGTCGCTATGCCATCTCGCGTAAAAGTCCCCTTCCTTTTCAGGGGAGTCCACAAGCGGCACCGATACCGCTATTCCCCAGACCTCTCCCGGCGTGCGTTCTGACCAGGACTTCGAGGCGAATCCAGCGGGGGTGACGAGGGCCCCCAGGAGGCCCCCCAAAGGGGAAACCAGGCGGGGGGTAGAGGTGCGGGTACAGTCAACGCGCATAGTAAGGACGCGCGCCTTCTCTGGGGGACCCTTGTGTTCTTGCCTCGGCGGCCCGTCCTTTGCCGTTTCCACTGGCCAGCCTCTTAGGCCGCCCCCCAAGATGTCCCAAACCTCGGCCTCCAAGGGTCTTGCGTCCTTACCACCCGTCCTACCACCCGTCCTTACTATACGCTTTCACTGCACCTCCTCTCCCTTTGATCTTCGCCGCTCCTGCGGGGTCGGCACGGTCGGAGTGGTTCTGGGGGCCGCCCGGCGGCCCGGAATGGTACCGCCGGCCGGGCCGCCCACGGCCGTCTCACGGCCGCCTCGGCCTCGGGCGCCCGCAGGTCGTCGTCGTCGTCGTCGTCGTCGTCGTCGCCGCCTCGGCCTCGGGCGCCCGCAGGTCGTCGTCGTCGTCGTTGTCGTCGTCGTCGTTGTCGTCGTCGTCGTCGTCGTCGCCGCCGCCAGTCCCACGGAAATTGAGGAGCGAACCAGGAAAAGGAAGGGGCGGCCCGGCCGCCACAGCCTTCCCCTTCTCCAGTACGCCCGCTCGACAGCGAGCTGCCGACGCGCGGGCCCGCCTCCTCGACGGCCTGCGCTCGAACAGCACGAAACCTCATATATTGGGACGACCGTAATAGGTACGGAAAAGGTGGATAGGAAGACCAGCGGCTTTTCCTGTTCATCTTGAAAGGGGTTCGCTGTCGGTGCCGCCTCGGCCGCTGTACATCTGACACAGAAGGCCGCCCTCCCAACAGCGGCCACTGTCCGGTCTTGGCAACATTTGATGTCGGGCATCGTGTTCATGTGTTCCGTACCCATTCCGGGCGTCCAAATGGCAGGAGGGGGAGGATCCATGTCTCCGCGATGTTCCTTCCACATCCGGGCATGTTCATCGATCTCGGCCTCGGGGGGCTGTTTTTGGGCCACGGGACCTTCGAAACCGGATCTGGTGCGACACATCAGCCCTGGCGAAGGGGTCGGCCCGTCGCCGTGGATTGAGCCAAGTCAAATCTCAGGAGGGGACAACACACATACACAATTCATCGTCCATTCCCAGGAAAAGACAGGAAAAATATGGGAAGTGGGGGGGAAGACAGAAACCCGGGAAACATGGGAAAAGATGGGGAATCCTGTCATTTGTGTGTGTATTTATGTGTGTGTCCCAGGGCCCCTTCAAAATCGGAGGGTGCCTGGGGGGCATCCCGGCACAGGCGTCCTCTCCCCTCCGTCCTGCTCCCTCTCACCATCCTCGTCCTGCTCCGCCTGGAGGCTCTCAGTCCTCGCCCTCCCTCTGGAGGATGGCCGGCGGGGTGCCGTGCCGCCCTGCGCGCATGCCCTGCTCGGCCCTGGCAGGAGGATCGGGTTCGACTCCTTCATGGCCTGGTGGATCCGAGAGGTCACGAGCACCGATCCGGGGGGGTGGGGGAGTGGTGCGGATCCGAGGGGGAGGAGGAGGAGGAGGATCCTGGTGGGTCCGAGAGGGTGGAAGCAGTGCAGGAGAGAGAGTGAGATGGGAGGAGCAGAAGGAGGAGGAGGAGGAGGAGGAGGAGGAGGAGGAGGAGGAGAAGAAGGATGAGGAGGAGGAGGAGGAGGAGGAGGACTGGGGTAGTGGGGAAGGGCAGGTGGGGGAGGGACGGAACGGGAGAAAGCGGAGGAGGATGAGGAGGAGGAGGGGAAAGGATGACGATGCGGCGAGAATGAGGGGGAGGAGAAGGAGGGACGAGACACGAAGCGCGAGGAAGGGTGAGGAGGATGACGAGGGTGAAGGAAAACGATGATGATGATGATGATGATGATGATGATGATGATGATGATGATGATGATGATGATGATGATGATGATGATGATGCTGATGTTGATGCTGATGACGATGATGATAGTGATGCTGATCCTGCTGAGCATGCTGATGCTGATGCTGATGACAATGACGATGATGATGATGGTGATGGTGATGGTGATGATGATAATGATGCTGGCGATGTTATCAATATTGATGCTGATGATGCTGATGCTGCTGAGCATGCTGATGCTGTTGATGATGATGTTTTATGATGATGCGGATGGTGAGTGTGATGCTGATGCTGATGTTGATGCTGATGTTGATGATTTTGCTGTCGATGATACTTAAACTGACGGTGATGCCGATAACGATGATGATGTTGATATTGTTGATGATGTTGCTGCTGATGATGATACTGCGGATGTTAGTGATGCTGAAGCTTACGATGACGCTAATGATGCTTATGCTGATGACGACTATGCTGATGCTGGCGATGATGATGTTGATGATGCTGATGCTTATGATGCTGGTGATGCTGATGCCGATCATCATGCTGACGATAAGGACGATACTGATGCTCATGATGCTGATGATGGAGATGATGTTGATGCTGATGCTGCTGCTGCTTATGCTGATTATGATCCTGATGCTGATGATTATTGTGGTGATGGTGATGGTGATGATGTTGATGATGATGATGATGATGATGATGATGATGATGATGAGGATGATGATGAGGATGATCATGCTGATAGTGGTGGTGCTGGTGATGATGATGATGATGATGATGATGATGATGAGAAGGAGGAGGAGAAAGAGGAGGATGGAGGGTTGAACCAGTTGGGAGGGATGGACGGGAAGTGGTTGGAGAAGGGGAGGTAAAGATGCGGTGGATGAGGCGGCTGCGGAGGAGGATGGGGGAGAGAGGAAGGGGGGAGGGGGAGGAGGGTCAGGACCATTGAGAATAGAAGGCGGGTGCAGTAGGATGAGGAGTAAAGGGAGCAGAGGGAGGCGAGGGAGAAGGAGGAACAGGCAGAACGAGCGAGGATGCGGATGTTTCTTAAGAGAGAAATATACGAGTTGACGGCGATGATGGCGACGACGAGCCTCTTGATGATGAGGCCAGTGCTGGCGATGATGCTGCTGCTGATGATGATAAGAAGGATGACGACGACGACAACGATGATGATGATGATGATGATGATGATGATGAGATGATGATGATGATGCTGATGATGATGACGATGGTGATACTGATGATGGCGATGATGATGCTGATGATGAGTGTGGTGATGGTGATGCTGATGCAGTTGTTGATGATGTCGATTATGATGATGCTGATGACGACGGTGATGATGATGAGGCTGGTTACGATGGTGCGATGGTGTTGCTGATGCTGATGCTGATGATGTTGATGATGAAGTCGATGCTGTTTTTGATGATACTGATGATGCTGATGATGATGATGCTGCTGATGATGATGATGCTGATGACGATGACGATGACGATAACGATGATGATGATGATGATGATGATGATGATGATGATGATGGTGATGATGATGATGCTGATGATGCTGATGATGATGATGCTGATGATGATGACGATTATGAGTATGATGATGATGATGACGATGATGATGATGATGATGATGATGATGATGCTGATGATGATGATGATGATGATGATGATGATGATGATGATGATGATGATGACGATGATGATGATGATGATGATGCTGATGCTGATAGCAAGAATGGTGATTGTGACGACGATGATGGGGATGCTGACAATGATGCTGGTCCATCGCCCGATGCTGCTGCAGGCAGCCGTGGCGCCGCCGGCCGCCCCTCGCCTTGCGCCGGACATCCGTCCTCTCCTTGCACCGAATACCTGCGCTCACTGTTAGGACAGCAGCGGCGGCAGCGGGATCACCTACTCACGCGGCACACGACGGCACCCCCACGTCATCTCAGAGCGACAGCAGCGCTGCATCCCAGCACGCGGCGACGGCAACCGCCTGAACAGGCGCAACGGTTGTGGGCCGCGGTAACGCAGTGTCCCCCAAACCTGCCGTGCTTTTTTCTCAGCGGCAGGCCAGCACTATGCTAGTGTCCACGGTAGCGCAGGGCTTCAAAATCCACCGTGGTTCCCTCGCACACTGATGACCTACCGGCGTGACGTGGCACCGTGCGGCGCCTACGCCGACCACAGGTATGCTATGCAGTGGGTCCACGGTCACGCAGGGCTCCACAGCTCGCTGTGAGCTTCCCACCCACGCGCCAACGCTATGTTTGTGGGTCGGCGAGAATACAGGGCTCCAGAAGCCGCCGCGGCTTCCTCACCCACGGATGCCATCGGACGATCGTGGCTGGGTCCGCACGTTTCCACATGCCAGTGGGCAGAGCTCTCTCGTGGACCCTCCGCGGTGGCGGCCTCGATCGCCAGCAGCGCTGGGGCCCTCGGAGGCGGCGGCGCGAAGGGCCGGCTTCCCCCTGGTCCTGGAACTTCGATTTGCATTGGGCCGTAACCGCTACACTCTGTGGGATAGGGAAAACCCGATTCATCCTCAAAGACATTTTGTTTGACTGATTCTTAGACGCATGTGTGCGGATCGTCAAACAACCTACAAAATGTGTTTCATGATTGTTGGTTTGTTGGTGCACGTGGACAAGCGGCTCTGCGCGCGATGCCTACGTGCCATGATCACGCAAACGCAAGCTACAGTGACCGAATGTTGCAAGAACGCCATTCCCGCAATTTCCTGACACCACTCCAGACTGCACTATCTCCCGGCTCCACCTGCCTGCAACCTGCCTTCCCCGCCGCCCCCCTCGCGAACTCCTCCCTCCTTTTTGTGGCGGCCGGATTGGGCGGGGCAGGCGGGTGGGGTGGGCAAACTCACCAACGGCCCTCTTGGCGATGGCCAAGGCGGCCTGGGGCCACATCCGCAACCTCTCGCACCTGTTACGCCGCGTTCCAGGCCGCGTTCCACGCTCTCCTGATGTGCTACCTATCTCCCAGCACATCGTACCTGTGCCAGCGTCTGCCCCTTCGTCACAGTGCTGGCGCCTCTTCTGTGGCAGCTGTGGGGTGGGCTGAGGTTCTGGGTGGGATGGGCAATCTCACCAGCGGCCGTCCGGCCTGCGGAACGCAGCCACCACTCGCCGCGCAAGCCTCGTCGACGCCTCTCTCGCACGCCTGCCCTGCGTTGCCGGTCGCATCTCAGGAGGGAAAAAAACACACAGACACACTTCATCGTCGATTCCCCAGCAAATATAGGGGAAAATATGGGGAGTGGGGGGGAAGACAGAAGCCCCGAAAATCTGGGGAAATAGGGGGAGTCTTTCTATTTGCGTGTATTCATTTGTGTGTCCGTGGGCCCCGTCAGTCTCTCTCGCACGCCTGCCCTGCGCTGCCGGTCGCATCTCGCTCCTCCCGCTCGCTTCCGCCGCCCGCGGGCGCCGCGAGCCGCCTCGCCGCGCCCTCGCCTCGCCGCCGCCGCCTCGCAGGCCCCCCTGCTCCTGCCGGGCGCTCGGGCTCCTTGACTTGCCCGTGCCACCCCGCACCTCCCACGCCCTTGGCACTCGCCCCGTCGCCGAAGCACGGTCGGGGCCCTGAAGGAGGAGCCCTTTTCGTTGGGGAGGGGCTCCGTGCTCCTTACTTGTTCTGCAGCCTGCCCCACGTGTTCCTCAGGTTCAAAGTTCAACCCATGGAAAACTAGGGGAAACGACATCGAGGGGACATAGGTTCAGAGTTCAACGAGGGGAAAGCGACATCGAAGTTCAACTCATGGAAAATAGGGGCCTCGTTCCTTATTTAGGGTTCCTTGGGCCAACGCCTCGACTGTATGGCGAGGGGGCGGGGTGGGATCCCACGCGCGGGGGCGGGGCCGCGCCTGGCCGCTGGCTCCTCCCGGCGTCGGCCGTGGCGGCCGCCGGCTCAGCTCGGCCGCTTGGTCGCGCGGCTCGTGCCGCGGAAGGCGCGGGGCTCCCACCAGCCTCGAACAGATCCTTATCTCAGAGCCCCGAATCATCAGGGGTAACTCGGGTCAGGGATAACTCGGGTTCCCTTTTTCGGGAATCCAAACCCGAGTTACCCCGGACCCGAGTTACCCCGGATAACTCGGGCGTCCAGAGCCCCACATCATCAGGGGTAATTCGGGTCAGGGCTAACTCGGGTTCCTTTTTTTCGGGAATCCAAACCCGAGTTACCCCGGACCCGAGTTACCCAGGATAACTCGGGCGCCCAACTCGAACAGATCCCTATCCCCAAGATTGACGTGCCAAGAGGCGATGGCAATCTTAGGAATGCGCCCTCAGAAACTCGGGGAATGCCACGATCGGCATCGTGACGAGGCGATGCCCAGCATAGGGACAGGGATGCGTTCCAGGCTGGTAAGAGCTCCCCGCATCTGGTGGGCCCTCCCCCCCCCCCCCGAGGCCACCACATTCCTCCCGCGGGAGCCCTTCGGCCGCCTCGGCGGGGGAGGGCTCCCTGGGCAGGGCTGTGGGACGTCCCGTGCGGCGGGGAGAGGCCTTCTTACGCTTTTTTGGGCTTGGCGACAGTGGCCTGGCCACAATCGCCACCCGCGCGTGCCGCAAGCCACATCGCCACCGCCGCCTCGCTTCTGCCCCGAACCCTGCCGACGCTTGCACTTGCGCCCTCCCCATCCATCCATCTTCCCTCGGAATGCGAGAAAGCCATATATATACATTTAGATACACACGTACACACACATATATATATATATAGAATCATTATTATTATTATTATTAGTAGTAGTATTAGTATTTTTTTTTTGGGGGGGGGGAGGGAGGGGGGGTTCTCTCTTTCTCTCTCTTTCTCCCCCCCTCCCCACCTGAGGGCGCAGGGGGGCCTGGGTCATTCGCTCGGGGGGGGGAATCGGCTCTTCTTGTGGCTTGTTTCTTTCAAGACCGCTACTTTAGATTGACCCTCCCCAAGGGGCAATGTCCCCTGCGGGGGTGGGTCGAGTGTCATCGTCTGGATACTCTTTTGCTATTCGAATCCAGATCCTGAGAGGAGGAGGAGGAGGATCAAGAAACAGAAGCATCACAGTAATACGAATGAGACAAGAAAAGAAGAGGCGGAGGAGGCGGAGCAGGAGGAGGAGGAGGAGGGAAGGAGGAGGAACAAGGGGGAACGTCAGAGGAGGGATGAGCTGGCCCCCGTGGCCGTGGCGGGGCGCTTCTCCCCAGAGGTGCGCCAGGCCAGGGTGGTGACCCTCACGAGCGCTGGGGCTTGGCACTCCCGCGGGGTTTAGTTGAAATGCGCCGGTGGTCAGGAAGAACAGGAGGAGGAGGAGGAGGAGGAGGAGGCGGCGGATCAGCGTAAAAGCAAGACGCATCAGCGATGTTGCAATCCAATCTTCCTCCAAGTTCCTTCTTCATAAGTCCTTAGCATAATTCATCTTCATTGTGGGGGATGGCACATGAGAAAACGACCGTTGGATAATCCCCAATCGGGCCAAACACCGTTTCTTGGACGTCAACCCCGGGGATCAACGTGACGGCTGTGTCCTGCCAATCATAAGTCGCGTTATAACACCACTCGTGGGACTTGGACCGCGCTGTTGTGTCCTGACAGTCCAAGATCTTGCCACATCGCTTAAACGAATGAGGGCTGCGCTAGAACGAGAGCTACATTTTGGAAATAAAGCATACGGCGCTAAAGCGACCACCACATTAAAAAATGCAGCCGCCCTCCATGCGTGAAACGGATGTAAGCGTTCTAGACGAATGCGCCCGTCGCTAATTCGAGAATCGCATTTTGAAAGCCACCCGACCTCCATCCGTGAAGTTGTCACAAACCTTACTTAAGACGAATGTCCGTGGCGCTCAGGCGAGATACGCATTTTTAAAAACCAGCCCTCCATCCGTGAAGTCGTTGTTGAGCTCATTTGTCAGGATCATAAATAGCGAAGAATCCTCAGGCCAAGCGCCCGGCCCGCGCTACCGACACGTCTTGGGGTGCGACAGGGGGGAGGAGGGAGCGAAGGGAGGAGGAGCAGGAGCAGGTGGAGGAGGAGCAGGAGCAGGAGGAGGAGGAGGGAGGAGGGAGCGAAGGAGGTAGGAAGGGAGGAAGCGAGGTAGGAAGCACGGAGCGATGGTAGGGGGAGGAGTGGAGGGAGGGAGGGAGGGAGGAAACACAGGAGGAGGAGGAGGAGGAGGCGGAGGAGGAGGAGGAGGAGGAGGAAGGAGGGAGCGAAGGTGGTAGGAAGGGAGGAAGCGAGGTAGGAAGCACGGAGCGTTGGTAACGGGGAGGGAGGAAGGGAGGAAACACAGGAGGAGGAGGTGGAGGAGGAGGAGGTGGAGGAGGAGGGCGAGGAGGAGGCGGAGGATGAGGAGGAGGATGATGATGATGAGGCGGGGGAGGAGGAGGAGGGGCGCCAGGCCCGATGAAGGCCTGGGCGGTTTGGGGCGTTTTTCACGCTTCGCGTCGCAAAACGCCTGAATAGTTTTTTGTTCGCCACATGAAAGAACCTCTTGCTACTTCCATCATTTCCATAAGTTCCCATACATACAATTTCCAAGAAGTGTTGTTATCTCCATGATTTCCATACATGCATCGGTTTCCAAAGTATCGGAGGGGTAGAGGTGACGGTTCCAGTCGGGCACGGCTGATAGTCTGGAAAACTTGTGAGCTGATTGGAATTCTGGAAATAACAGCATTTTGCCATGGAAATTATATGGACAGTTGTGGGCAGTACGGAACTAACAGGGTTTTGTCAACCACATGAGGGGGGAGGAGGAGGAGGTAGGAGGAGGAGGAGGAGGAGGAGGAGGAGGAGGAGGAGGAGGAGGAGGAGGAGGAGGATTGGACGGAGGAGGATATTTAGGAGGAGGGAGGAGAAGGAGAAGGAGGAGGAGGAGGAAAATGAGGAGGAGGAGGAGGAGGGGGCGGGAGAGCTGATGATTCCCGCTTTTTCTTCTTCTCCCTTTCCTTGCCGCTCCTCCTCCCGCCCCTCTCTCCCCCTCCTCTTACCTCGCTCCTCCTACCTCCTCGCCCCGTCGCCTCTCCCCTCGTGCTTCCTCCTCCCATCATTGTCCCTCGTGACAGCTGTCTCACTCTGTCCCTCCTGCCCCTCGCTGCCGTCCGCTTTTCCCCGCAGACCCATGACGCGCGCTATCTGCTTCATCGCGTGGAAAAAGGCGGAGCCCAACATTGCGGGCGCAATGCCCCGCTCTTTGGGGCGCAGTGTCCAAGCCTTGGGTGCAATTCCAAAATCTTTGGGGTGCAATGCCCAACCCCTTCGGGTGCAATGCCCAACTCTCTCGGGTGCAATGCCCAACTCTTTGGGGTGCAATGCCCGACTCTTCGGTTGCAATGCCCTACTCTCTCGGGTGCAATGCCCAACCTTGCGGGTGCAATGCCCAATTCTCTCGGGTACAATGCCCACTTCTTTCGGGTGCGATGCCCAAATCATCCGGGTGCGATGCCCAAGTCTTTCGGTCGCAATGCCCAAGCATTTCGGGTGCACTACCCGAACGCTCTGGGGTGCAATGCCCGACCGCTTTGGGGTGCAATGCCCAACGTTGCAGGCGCAATCGCGGATTATCGAGGTGCAGTGCCCGATGCTTCGGATGCAACGTCCGTTTCTTTCATATATTTGCTATGGTTCGGCATGTTATTCAAACCTCGTCGTTGGCAACTATGCTCCGGCATCCCTACTCACCTTCCCTCCCTCCCTCCTTCCCTCCTCCTCCTACTCCTCCAGTTCCTGCTCGTCTTCCCCCTCCCCTTCGTTTCGGTCGTCGTTATCCTTCCTTGTCGCCTTTTCGTCCCACCTCTCCTTCGACGCGCTCCGCCGTTTGTTTATTATTTGAAAAACGTTTCGCCGTGTTCATGGCGTTATCCGCCGAGCCAGGCGCAGCGCGAACTACTCCCGACGCGGCGAAGCAGCTGGCGCGGGCGAACACGAACGGGCCCGCCGCGCGGAGAAGGCAACTTTGAAAAAGAAGCAGCCCGCTGGCTCGACCCCCCCGCGGAAGGAACGGCTACCAGCCTGGAACCTATCCCGATCCCTATGTAGGGCTTCGCCTCATCACGATGGCGGTATCAGGGATCCCTTCAGTCTCGGAGGGTGCATCCCTAAGATCGTCATCGTCTTTTGGCGTGTCACTCCTAAGTATAGGGATAAGTTCGAGGCTGGTTAAAAGGACTGCGCACGCCTCTCCCCTATCCGGGGAGCTATCTGGCACCCGCGGAGTGTCGCTGACGAAGGGGGCGAGGTCAGCAAGAGCTCGACGACGAGGAAAAGGCGAAACGAAGGACGCAACTGCAGGGTGAGCGACCTTGCGCTCCTGGATCCCAGGATTTCCCGGAGGATGGCCTCGATCGACCTGGCGCGCATCGGTCCCGATCTCTTGGCGCGCATCACGATGGAGATGGGTGCTCTTCCAGACATGGGGGGCGAATGCTCGGCATGTCGATGCGGCACCACGCAGTTGCAGATGCGGAACTGCCAGTCGGACAGGGATGTCCAGGGGGCACGCTTCAGCATCCCACGTATGGACATCCCATGTGGCGTTGTTCCAGTTGGGAGTGCCAGAAGTGCGAGGCCAGCGTGGACCCGAAAAGGGCCCCCTGAAGGAATTGTTCAACAAGGGCTCAGCGAACACCGCCCGCGCTCTCATCGCCATCGCCCATGCGGCAACTCAGCGCGCCTCGGGCTGCGAGTCGTCGGACGAGCCGGCGGTGCCAGTGCGGAACCCAAGCAACCGGCCCAGCGCAATGCCAGCGCCGTGCGAGCCGTTTGCGCTCGCGTTGCCCAGTCTGAACAATACGAGTTCAAATGGCATCGCGGCTGTCCTGTGCAGGACGACGTGGCGTCATTACGCGCTTGTCGTGTGCCGTGCCCGTCGAACTGCTCCGAGAAGACTTGCGGTGAGCACCCCTTTGGGCGGTGTCGTTTGTTGCGTCGCCGGCGTATGTGCGTAATGCCCAGAGGGCAGAGGCCTTTGGCGATGATTTATGAGCTGCCCCTGCGCACCTGTGCTGCTGGAGGGCGCGGCGTATCGCTGAACGGGGGAGTATGAGACGAGATCCTGTCGTGGGTTTTCGTCTCTGTTTTTTTTGGTTTGTCCACCATTCTCGTTGACGGCGCAGTGGCATGCCAATCCGTGGCCCCATAAAGCCGCGCGTCATACAGCGACGCAGAGTAAGGGCCTTCCCCGCTTCAGCGCAGAACGTTTTTATTGCTCACCATAAGCACCTGAAGTTGTCGCACGGCACCGTGTCCCACGATGCGGAGCTCTGGGCCGTTGTCGATCGCGTGCGCGTGGTGCGTCCGAATGGGCGCGACGAGAATGGCATGTTTTTTATATGAAAAGGGCACCCAGTGCTGCGACGGACTATGGCCTGAGATGCGCAGTGGCATCCCAGGCAGCGCTCACACTTACGATTGGGGGCGCTGTCGTACGTACTTGTGGGCTTGCGTGTGGCGCGTGCGGCGAGCAGGCAACGACCTGCTTCAGGAGTACAGCCCCGCCGTTCGTGCAGAGAAATATCGCACGCGTTGAGCCAACACTGTAGAAGTGCAGCCCGCTCGCGTGCAGAAGGCGCTGGCTGAGGCAGAGAAGGCTGGCTGCGGCCTCCAGTGCGCACTTTCGGCGGTGCTGTTATATATATATATATACACACACCACACGTACGCGCCGCCGAGGCATTCGTCGGGCTTGCCCCGGGAGGAGGAAAACGAGGAATACGAGTAGGAGGAGGAGGAGGAGGAGGAGGAGGAGGAGGAGGAGGAGGAGGAGGAGGAGGAGGAGGAGGAGGACGAGGACGAGGAGGAGGGAGGACGAGGAGGAGGAGGAGCGGAGCAGGAAGAGGAGGAGGAGGAGGAAGAGGAGGAGGAGGAGGAGGAGGATTGGAGGACGGGGAGGAGGAAGAGGGGGAGGAAAAAGGAGGAGGGGAGGCATGGGTCGGAGGATGGACGAGGCGGAGGAGGAGGAGGAGGAGGAAGACGAGGAGGAAGAGGAGAGGAGAACGAGGGGGAATAGGAGGAGGAGGAGGAGGAGGAGGAGGAGGAGATAGAGGAGGAGGAGGAAGGTCGGACAAGTGGATGAGGCGGAAGATGGGCGAGGACAGGGAGGAGGAACCAGAAATGAGGAGTACGAGGGAAAGGGAGGAGGAGGAGGAGGAGGAGGAAGAGCAGGAGGAGGAGGGACAGGCAGGAGAAGGCATGGTGGAGGGTGGAGGAAGGATCAGGCGGGGGAGGCTGGATGACGGTGGACAGCGGGGAA